CATTCGTTTGCTACGGCTGCCATAACAAATACCATATACTGGGTGGCTTAAAAAACAGAATTTTATTTTCTCACAGTTATGGAGGCTGGAAGTCCAAGATCAAGGTCTTGGAAGGGTTGGTTTCTTTTTTTTTTTTTTTTTTTTTGAGACAGAGTCTCGCTTTGTTGCCCAGGCTAGAGTGAGTGCCGTGGCGTCAGCCTGGCTCACAGCAACCTCAAACTCCTGGGCTCAAGCAATCCTCCTGCCTCAGCCTCCTGAGGGACTGGGACTACAGGCATGCACCACTATGCCTGGCTAATTTTTTCTATATATATTAGTTGGCCAATTAATTTCTTTCTGTTTATAGTAGAGACGGGGTCTTGCTCTTGCTCGAACTCCTGAGCTCAAGCAATCTGCCTGCTTCGGCCTGCTAGAGTGCTAGGATTACAGGTGTGAGCCGCTGTGCCCAGCCTCTCTTACCCAATTTCTATCTCTGGTTTTTTCTAGGCTTTTTTTCTACAACCCCCTTTTTGCCCTTGCTTTAGGGATTGAGTATTTGCTTGGTTTTTTGTATGTATTTTGTCTCCTTTATTAGTTTGGAAGTTGGCACTCCAGTTCTTTTCTTTTAGTGGTTACTCTTGAATTTTTACTTGCATACTTAACAAAATCTAACATTATCTTAACCCCAAATGGTAAGAGGGCATTTAACTTCAATCACCCCCTCTTTACTTATAATTAGTTGTTGTCTAGCATTTTAGTTTTATTTTTAATTTCTTTTTTAATTAATTAATTTAGAGACAAAGTCTTGCTGTTTTACCCAGGCTAGCTTTGAACTCCTGGGCTTAAGCAATCCTCCTACCTCAGCCTCCTGAGTAGCTGGGACTCATTTTAATTTGATTACCTCTGTAAAGATTCTGTCCCCAAATAAGGTTACATTTTGAGGTACTGGGTGTTAGGACTCCAACATCTCCTTTTTTTGGGATACACAGTTCAACCCGTAACATCACCTATAGTCTGTTTTCAGCACAGGGGCCAGAGCAATCCTGTTGAAACACAAATCACATCATGTTATTACTCTGCTCAAAATTCTCCAGGACCTCAGTAAAACCCAGAGTCTTTATGGTGGCCTGTAAGGCCCTACATTGTCTGCTCCCTCCCTTGCCTCTTTGTGCTTATCTTCTACTTTGAAAGATAGTACTATGTAGTGCTTAAAAGCAAGGAGCCTGGACCTTGGCTGCCGAGGTTCAGATCCCAGGTCTGACATTCACTAGCTATGTGACCCTGGGAAAGTTACTTAAACTTTGTGCCTAAGTTTTCTCATCTGTAAAATGGATTTATAAGAGTATCTACCTCATAGGGTTGTTATAAGGATCAATATTTGTAAAGTACTTACAATAGTGCTTGGTATGTATATTAATAGCAAATACTTGTAGCAATTCTCAAGTCCCATATACTGTTTTGAGCTCTTTAAGATATTCATTTATTCTTTTTTTTTTTTTTTTTTTTTGAGACAGAGTCTCACTTTGTTGTCCAGGCTAGAGTGAGTGCCATGGCGTCAGCCTAGCTCACAGCAACCTCAAACTCCTGGCTCAAGCAATCCTCCTGCCTCAGCCTCCCAAGTAGCTGGGACTACAGGCATGTGCCACCATGCCCGGCTAATTTTTTACATATATATCAGTTGGCCAATTAATTTCTTTCTATTTATAGTAGAGATGGGGTCTCGCTCTTGCTCAGGCTGGTTTCGAACTCCTGACCTTGAGCAATCCGCCCGCCTCGGCCTCCCAGAGAGCTAGGATTACAGGCGTGAGCCACCGCGCCCGGCCGGGTTGGTTTCTTTTGATGGCTGTAGTCTCTCTCTGTCTTCACAGGGTCTTTCCTGTGTGTCTGTCTGTGTCCTAATCTCCTCCTCTTTGAAGGATTAGGGCTCACCCAAATGATTTCATTTTACCTTAATTACCTCTTTAAAGTCTGTATCTTCAAATACAGTCACATACTCAAGTACTGGTGGTTAGGACTTCAACTCTGAATTTTGGGGTTTAGGGGACACAATTCTGGCCATAATAACCTATATCCACTGTTATGGTATCACACAGAATAGTTTCTCTGCTGTAAAAATACCCTATGCTCCACCTATTCATCTCTCTCTCTGCCCCACAAACCCCTGGCAACCACTGTCTTTTTACTATCGCCATAATTTTTCCTTTTCCAGATTGTCATGTAATGGAAATTACATAGTATGTAGCCTTTTCACATTGGTCTTTTCCACTTAGCAAGGTACATTTAAGGTTCTTTCATGCCTTTTTGTGGCTTGATTGCTCATTTCCTTTTTTCACTGAATATCTATTCACTTTGAATTTTAATAGTTCTATTTTTAATTTCTAGAAGTTCTATTTGGTGCCTTCACAGATTTGCCTATTTGTATATTGCATGCCTGTTTTTGTGATTCCATGTTTTATTTCTTTAAATATTTCTTACATATTTATTTTTTTATTCTGTGGCAGATAATTCTAATATCTGAAGCTGTCAGGGTCTAAATTTGTTTGTTGCTTCTGCTCTTGTGGTGACTTGTTTTCTTACATTTTTGGTGCTCTAGGATTGTGAGCTCATAATGGTTGCTCTTCATCACTGGCTACTATCCTGGAGGCCTAATGTGAAGAATGCTTTCCTCCAGAAGGATTTGGCATTTGATTCACATAGAAACCAGGAGTTTCACTGGTCTGGAATCACATTAGTCACTTTTGAGGGTTGGATTAATATGGGAGTGTCAGATTCATCTCCATTTGCCACATCATAATGGACATTGGCTTTCAAGGCTGCCTTACCTTTTGCTTGTTGCTCACTGTTTTTCATCTGGTTTTAGCTTACTTTGTGTTTACGGAGGGATTTCTGTTATTACTGTGACACAGTCTAATGAGTACATTCTAAAAGTCTATTTTATCTAAAGACTTCATTGTTTTGTAAGTGCATATCCCTTTTAGACTTTGTAGTTGGGCATGTCACCAAAGCAGGATTCAGTTGCTGGAGTTTAGGTATTGACTGATAGAATGATGTTGATCATGTTAAACACCTTTAAGTCCCCCTGGGCATCCTCCCAATTTCACTCTCAGTCATTCACTCTTCAGGATCAAACTTTGAGCCCTAGGCAAATGACACATTTTCTCTTGGCCAGCAGCCCATGCCATTAGGAATGAAAAGTTTGGCTATTGCCTCTGTGTGCTAATCTGGATGACCTTTTGTTTCCCTGTGGTAGCACTGATAAAAATCAGATTTGAATTTACTTCTGGGAAAGAAAGGTCTGGAAAACAAGTATAGTAACCAAAAAGGCACAGGATTGATGTTTACATCTCAGCATGGCCATTTAGCAATTATGTGACCTGGTACAGATTATTATGTAACTTCTCTGAGCCTCCAAAGTCTCAACTATAAAGAATAACAAAAGCTTCTGCTTAACTGATCACTTACAATATACTAAGCACTATGCTAAGTTTTTTGCATATAGTTCTTATTTAATATTCAGTAACAACCTTATGAGATATAGTTATTATGCCTATTTTAATAATGAGAAAACTGAAGTGTAGAGAGGTTAAGTAAAATTGGGTTAATATTAAGGCCAAATTAAATACTTATTCACTTATTTTTAGAGATGGGATCTCGCTATGTTAGCCAGACTGGCTTTGAACTCCTGAGCTCAAGTAATCCTTCGGCCTCAACCTCTTGAGTAGCTGGGACTACAGACACACACCACCATGCCTGGCATGTTAAGACCAAATTTAAATGAGATAACACATGTAGTATGCTGTGTAAATATAAAGTGGTCAATACATAGCAAATGGGATTATTATGATTATTAACATTTTTTGGATATAAAATTAAGTCTTTTATGTAATATGGACTAAATAAGATTTATTTGCTAATGAATATTTTATGGAGCACTTACTATGGTATTGCTAATGCTAGGGAAACAGGAGAGAATAAAACAAATATGGTCCCAGCACTTAGGGGAACTCCCCTTGGGAGTGAGGGAGATGGATCCATAAACATTTACAATTTAGCCTGGGAAATGCTGTGATGGAACAAGAATAGGGTACTTTGGGAGTCAGCAAAGATAAACCAGATGCCCTCTAGGCTTAGATCTGAAAAATGAGTTGGAGGTAAGAGTGGGGAGGAAAGGCACAGGTAGCAGCGATAATGAAAGTCTGGAGGGGAGAGAATGCATGCTGAGTCTAAAGAAGTGAAAGTATTTTTGTTTATAGCCTTTTAGGAAAAATATGGAAAGTGAGGCTGGAGAGGTGGGCAGGCACCATATTCTCAAAGGCTTTGTAGTAGGCCCTGCTGCAAGAGTTGGACCTTTATCCTTAGGGCACTGGAAAACCTCTGAAAGTTGTTTACCCACCAGTGATGTGATTTAAAAAGATCACTCTGGCTGAATTATTGGAATAATAACAACAATAGCTTTAAATCCTTATACCAACACTTGGGGGTAAATATTATTATCTTGATTTTATAGATGAAGAAATTAGAACTTAGCTTACTTTACCAACAAAAATTCACACATTTAATAAGAAGTGGAATCATGGATCCATGTCTTTCTGAATCTAAAGTTGTATTGATGTATCACCTTCAACTAGTTATGATTTATTATTGCTTTATGTTTAGTCTGTGAAAAATTCGTACTCACTCTTATAGTATTAGCATATTCTGTGATAGTTTACAAAGCATTTCACATCTTTATTGAATTTAATCTCCTCAAAACTATGAATTAGGTGGTGTTATCTCCATTTTACAGGTATGAAAACTGAGGCTTGAGGTAGGGGACCATCCATGGCCCCACATACCTAGAAAGTGATGGAGGTGGAACTTGAATGCCAGGCTCTTGAAAGATGAAAACCTTTAAAAAAATTTTTTTTTTTAATTTGTAAGAACATTTTTTTAGTAGGTATCTTGTGAACATGCCACACTTTTTCTTGGGTCTGTGCCCCTTTGTTCATTGTGTGAATGTTTATAAGGCTCTTTCCTTCCAGGTTTTGGAGATCATATTCATTGGAGGACACTAGAAGATGGAAAGAAAGAAGCGGCTGCCAGGTACAAAACATGGTTTTAGGTCATTTATGGTGGTAAAATACTTTCCAGCTATCAACTTTAGATTAAGTTTAGGTGAAGGGCTATGCCAAGGCAGAGTAGGAACTAAATAGTTGCCTGATAACAACAATAATACTAGCTAACATTTATAGTTGATGTTTGGACAATACAGGTTTGAACTGCACAGGTCCATTTACATGTGGATTTTCTTCAATAAATATGTTGAAAAATATTTTGAAGAATTTTGACAATTTGAAAATACTTACAAAATGAACCATGTAGCCTTGAAATATAAAAAACATTAAGAAAAAGTTAGGTATGTCATGAATATATAAAATATATGTAGAAACTAGTCTATTTTATCATTTACTACCATAAAATAATATAAAACTATTATAAAAAGTTATAATTTATCAAAACTTATGCACACAAATACTTATAGACCATACATGGAACCATTTGTAGTTAAGAGAAATGTAAACAAACATAAAGATGTAATATTAAACTATAACTGCATAAAATTAACTATAGTATGTATTGTACTACTGTAATAATTTCATAGCCACCTCCTGTTGCTATTGTGGTGAGCTCAAGTGTTTCAGAGTATCTGCTTAAAACACCGTATGATACTAATAATCTTCATGTGAGCAGTTTCTCTAGTAAATTGTGTCATAGTAAAAAGTGATCTCTCTCGGTTTTCATGTATTTTTCATGGTAAGTTTAGTGAAATACCATAAACCTAGAATAACATCATGGAACCCATACAAAGTGCCACAAGTGATGCCAGAAATGTCCCCAAGAAGCAGAAAAAAGTCATGATGTTACAAAAAAAAAGTTAAATTGCTTGATATGTATCATAGACTGAGGTCTGCAGAGGTGGCTGTCACTATTTCAAGAAGAATAAATCCAGTGTAAGGACCATTGTAAAAAAAGAAAAGGAAATTTATGAAGCTGTCACTGCAGCTACACCAGCAGGCACAAAAACCTTACAGTTTTTGTGAAATATCTTTTTCTCTTATCTTGAAAATGCAGCTTTTATGTGGGTGCAGGATTGCTATAAGAAAGACATACCTATAGACTCTAATTTGAGAAAAAAATGAAGTCATCATATGACAAAAAAAAGGCGAAGGACCCAAAGCTGGAGAATTTAATGCCAACAGGGAAGGTCTGGCAATTTTAGAAAGAGGATTGGCTTTAAAAATGTCAAGATAAAAGAAGCAGCTTCTGCTGACCAAGAGGCAGCAGATATGTTCCCAGACACCATTAAGAAAATCACTGAGGAGAAGGGATATGTGTTTGAACAGGCTTTTAATGCAAATGAAAATGCCCTATTCTGGGAAAAAAAGTACCACAAAGGACATTTATTAGTAAGGAAGAGAAGAGAACACCAGGATTGAAGGCAGGAAGGGATAGTCTAACTCTTGTTTTGTGCAAATGCAGTCGGGTTTATGATCAGAACTACCCTTATCTATAAAGCTGCTAACTCCTAATCCTTGAAGAGAAAAGATAAATACCAGCTGCCAGTCTTTTGGTTTGTACAATAGGAGGACCTGGATGACAAGAACCCTTTTTCTGGATTGGTTCCATCAATGCTTTGTCCCTGATGTCAGGAAATACCTTGAAAGTTCTTTTGATATTAGACAATGCCTGGGTCACTTAGAGCCCTATGAACACCAAAGGCATCAACACCAAAGGCATCAAAGTGGTCTACTTGCCCCAAACACAGCATCTCTAATGCAGCCTCTATTAATGGGGGTCAAAAGGACCTTTAAGGCTCATTACACATGGTACTCTATGGAAAGCATCGTCAATGCTATGGAAAAGAACCCTGATGGAACATCATCAAAGTCTGGAAAGACTACACATTGAAGATGGTGTCGTTGTTATAGAAAAATCTGTGAAAGCCATCAAGCCTGAAACAGTAAATTCCTGCTGGAGAAAATGGTGTCCAGATGTTGTATGTGACTTCACAGGATTTACAACACAGATAATCAAGGAAATCATGAAAGAGATTGTGGCTATGGCAAAAATAATGGGGGGTGAAGGGTTTCAAGATAGGGATATTGGAGAAACTCAAGTGCTAATAGACACCATACTGGAGGAATTAACAGAACACAATTTGATAGAAATGAGTGCTTCCAAAATTAGACAAATCTAGCAGAAGTGTTCCTATTATTCAAGAGTGCTTTTGACTTTTTTTATGACATGGACCCTCCTATGATATGGTTGCTGAAACTAAAGCAAATGGTGGAAGAAGGATTGGTACTCTATATAAACATTTTTAGAGAAACGAAAAACCAAAAAAGTCAGACAAATTACAATGTATTTCCATAAAGTTACACTATGTGTACCTGGCTCCTCTTCCACCTCTGCTACCCCTGAGACAGCAAGTCCAAGCCTCCTCTTCCTCCTCCCCAGCCTACTCAGTGTGAAGACAAAGATGAAGACCTTTATCATGATCTACTTCCACTTAGTGAATAGTAAATATTTTATCTTGCTTAAAATTTTCTTAATAACATGTTCTTTTCTCTAGTTTACTTTATTGTAAGGATACATTATATAATACATATAACATACAAAATATGTGTTAATCAGCTGTTTATGTTATTGGTAAGTCTTCCAGTCAACAGTAGGCTACTAGTAGTTAAGTTTTTAGGGAGTCAAAATTTATTTTCAACTATGTGGGTGTCACCACCCCTAACCCTCCCACATTGTTCAAGGGCTAACTGCCCTAAATGCTTACTGTGCACCAGGCATTAAATTACGTGAATTAACTAATTTAATTCTCACAACAACTCTCTGAAGTGGTACTGCTATCTTCATTTCAGAGATGACAAAACTAAAGCAGAGTTTTCTAAAGTAACTTGCCCAAGATCACATAGCTAGTTAAGTGGCAGAGTCAAGGCAGACCCCAGGCACTCTGGGTTTAGAGCCTGTACTCTCCACCAGTATACCATACTGCCTGCTAGACTCATGTTGAATAGTCTCAAGTCACAAATAGGTTTAGTTTATACACAATTTAGTGCATAAGGAAAGGGAAAAAGTAAGGTAGGGGAAGGAAGGCTAAAGCACTAGTATAAGTGTTTTACATGCATTGATTTATTTAATCCTATTAGATTGGTACACCTATGAAATAATTGCTGTTATTTTACAGAAAAGGATATTGAAGTACAGAAGAGTTAAATAACTTGCCAATATTTAGAGTGTTAGCAAGTGGCAGAGACAAGATTTGAACTTTTTCTACTTATACTGTACTGGAGAGATACAAAGACCTACACCCCAGTATATATGCAGCTATATTATACACACACATACTTGTACAGACACACTCACACTTCTGCATTTACCAAACTAAAGTGCTTGGTGTTCCCAGAACAGATCCTACAATTTCATGGCTCTGGGTCTCAAACCTTCTGTAGGAGTAGAGTTGCCAGATTTAGCAAATAAAAATGAAGGATGCCCAATTAAATTTGAATTTTAGATGAATAACAATTTTATGTCCACAGGACATTTGGGACATATTAATACTAAAAAAATTTTTTGTTGTTTATCTGAAATTCAAATTTAACTGGGCATCCTGTATTTTATCTGGCAACCCTAGCCAGGGGAAAAATTCCTGTTAGTCATTCAAGTTCTAAATCAAATGACTGTTCCTAGATTATTTCTCTGGGCAGTTTGTTTTTCTCTTCTGTTCTTTTATAACTGCACCTACATCTATCCAATACAGCGTTTATTACTCTGATTGTAGGAGCTTGATTCTTCCCATTCAGACACTTGATCTCCGGTGGGAAAACTGCTTTATGTTCATATCTGAATTTCCAACCATGGAGATGTTGAGTGATTGAAATAGTTATTGAATAAACATTTACTGAGAGCCAGTAGGTTTAGGAAGAATAGTGAAGGAGAACTACCATTTATGAATTGCCTTCTGTATGTTAAATATAGTGCTGATTGTTGTACAGTATTCAATGCTCACCAAGGCCTCAATCGGTTATAGTCTTCGGCCGCAGGGAGATGACATTCACTTGAAGCCTATAGCCATTTGGCACAAATAACTGATGCCATTTTAGTCTCTGCATCTCCTTGCTGAGAAAGCTGGACCCAGGCCTAGTAGGCGTAAACTCTTGTTTCCATAGAAACAGGAGGGTCTGTACGAGTGAAAGGAGGCAGGAAGTGCAATGTGTACTTCCGGCTTACGCCAGTGTCGCGAGCAACCCGGAAGTTGGAGCCGTGCAAATGCATATGGTGGCTTCCCGCTAGGATGCCGCTGGTGGTGTTTTGCGGACTGCCGTACAGCGGCAAGAGCCGGCGTGCCGAAGAGCTGCGCGAGGCGCTGGCGGCCGAGGGCCGCACGGTGTACGTGGTGGACGACGCGGCGGTGCTGGGCGCGGAGGACGCGACCGTGTACGGCGACTCTGCCCGTGAGAAAGCGTTGCGCGGAGCCCTGCGAGCCGCGGTGGAGCGGCAGCTAAGTCGCCAAGACGTGGTCATCCTGGACTCGCTTAATTACATCAAGGGCTTCCGCTACGAGCTCTACTGCCTAGCGCGGGCGGCACGCACCCCGCTTTGCCTGATCTACTGCGTACGGCCCTGCAGTCCAAGCAGGGGACCTCAGGTGGCGGGCGCGGAGGAAAACAGGAGCCGGCATGTCAGTGTGAGTTGGCGGCCACGCTCTGAGGGCGGGAGACTTCAGGCGGCGGGCGCTGGTATCCTCAGGGAACTGGATGCGGCGAACTCTGTAGTAAACGGGAGAGCCCAGACCAACGTACCTAAGGAACTGGAGCCAGAGGAAACTGGGGGAACAGATTCTCCAGCTTTCGTGACTCCACAGACCGAAAAATCTGCAAAGCCTGTGCCCAGTAGTGCCTTTTATCCTCCCGAACTGCTGGAGGCCCTAACGCTGCGCTTTGAGGCTCCCGACTCTCGGAACCGCTGGGACCGGCCTTTGTTCACCTTGGTTGGCTTAGAGGAGCCGTTGCCCCTGGCGGAGATCCAGGCTGCCCTGTTTGAGAACCGAGCCCCACCACCCCACCAGTCCACACAGTCCCAGCCTCTCGCCTCCGGCAGCTTTCTGCACCAATTGGATCAGGTCACCAGCCAGGTGTTGGCTGGGCTAATAGAAGCACAAAAGAACGCTGTCCCCGGGGATTTGCTCACGCTTCCTGGCACTACAGAGCACCTGAGGTTTACCCGGCACTTGACCATGGCAGAACTGAGTCGCCTCCGTCGCCAGTTCATTTCCTACACTAAAATGCATCCTAACAACGAGAACTTGCCTCAACTGGCCAATATGTTTCTTCAGTATCTGAGCCAGAGCCTGCACTAACCAGGATGGGTAGAGGAAAGCCATGACTCCTAAGGTCCACTGCGTTTTATATCTCTGGGAAGAACAGTCTGAGGGTCTGCAGAGCATGTTGATGTAGTACTGTACTAGAGCTGTTGTGACTGATTCGCTCAAACTTTCCTGACTGTCTCTGTGCTAGGCCTTGCGTTTACAGCATAAGTTGAGACTGGAGAAAATGGAGAACTAGCTTGGAGTATCCTGGCAAATTCCTTCAGAGGACAGAGCTCAGGTGAACAGAAGTTGCTTAGAGTGGATTCTACTTGGGATGTCACACACCATTGTTTTCCCCTGAGTTGTGGGAGAGCAAATTGGATGGATGAGAATTGCTTTAAAACAATTGTGAACAGAAACTGAAGATGGTGCAATTCTTTGTCTGCACCTGTCCTTTTTTTCATACCAAACTTTTTTTTAGTACCATACTTTCTGCTAGTCTCTGTCTTGGAACTGAATTCACAGATAGATCCATTGGTTTCTGTCCTTGGGAGGTTTTGATTTTGTGGAACTGAAAACATAACCACCAGATTACTTCCTCTAATAAAATCTTTTAAAGTAGATTGTCTACTGGAATCTTTTTCATGTAATGTAACTGAATGTTCTCTGTGTAACTTAATGAAACATTTTAGAAACATGTATCATTATGCCTTACAAATATATTTTGATAGTGCCCAGTGAAGACTAGCACTAGTTTTGGTCTAACCTAGAATAATTATATTATGACAACTCCCATAACTATTGTGCTTCATTCTGTATTTCAAGGCAAATGTCACTAAGCTTGTCTTTCATTCTTTCATTGATTTCCAGTGCCTGTGATTTTCAAAAATTGGATACAGTCTTTGCCTTTGAGAAATTGGTGAGAAATACAGACAAGTAAACAGATGATTATAGGATGAAAAGGGCTGGTCAGAGAATGATGACAAAATGCTCTGGGAGCCCAGAAGAGAGAAACATGGTTTTGGAAGGGCTCTAAAAGGAATTTTAACATGGGAACCATCACTCTAGAATAATGGCCAGCAAAGGGCCAAATAATAAATGTTTTTTAGATTTTGTGGGCTATTGGGTCTCTGCACTTTAAGTAAAGAAAGGGGCCTGAATGTGGTTTGTTTTTCTTTTTTGTCATTCTGTCTCTGACTTCTATGTGAATGTGTTTTAATTAAAACTATGTAAATTAGCCGGGCGTGGTGGCTCACGCCTGTAATCCTAGCTCTCTGGGAGGCTGAGGCAGGTGGATCATTTTAGTTCAGGAGTTCGAAACCAACCTGAGCAAGAGCGAGACCCTGTCTCTACTATAAATAGAAAGAAATTAATTGGCCAACTAATATACATAAAAAAATTAGGCAGGCATGGTGGCATATACCTGTAGTCCCAGCTACTCAGGAGGCTGAGGCAGGAGGATTGCTTGAGCCCAGGAGTTTGAGGTTGCTGTGAGCTATGCTGACGCCACAGCACTCACTCTAGCCTGGGCAACAAAGCGGGACTCTGTCTCAAAAAAAAAAAAAAAAAAAACTATGTGAATTGCATTTAAGATTAACATGTCACAAAGGAGTCTTTAGATTTGCTTTTCAACCACTGAAAAATGTAAAAAATATTTATATCATGCTTTTAAAAGGGCCAAAAAAATAAAATATTTATATATCATGGGCCCTACACAAGCAGGCAGTGGGCTGACTTGGCTCACAGACCACAGTTTGCTGACCCCTGCCCTAGAAGGATAAATAGGAATTTGCCAGGGAGGAAAGAGGAAGCAAAACATTTTAAAATGTGCATGTTCTGAAATTGCATGGAGCTATTGGGTAGATAGGCTGCCTTGCTTGATGGTATATTCCTTGTTCATCTGGTAATCTGGACCACCTTTTGTCTCTAGTAAACAAAGGATTCGTGTATGATATGGAGATTTGGACTAGGCAACCTCAAAGGCCTTTTCCAACCTTCACTTTCTGATTCTGAACTATTAATAGTTGATGATTAGTTGAGTTGGGTTTAAACCCATGGCCTCTGGATTACCATTCTAATGTCTACTTCATTCTACATTGAAGTAGACTATAATGGTCAGGAAAAAAACTGGTTTGGGAATTAGACTTTTGAGTTAGCAGAACCTGGATTCTGTGGGGCTAAATAACCTCTTAGGAATCAGTTTTCTCATTACATTGTGACACCACAAATAGTATCTACTTTAGGGTTATTTTGGGGATTTATGAAATAATGTATGTAAACCATAGCACAATGTCATATAATAAACATTCACTACATTTTGGTTATTATGGTTACCTAGATCCCACTACCCACCTAAACTTGCCCTGCTCATTTGATTTGCAAGCTTTTACAAGTATTGGAGGCACAAATCTGTCCCAGTTTTGAGGTAGGCGTAAGATGAGGTAGCTGAATAATTTATTTGACACTTAATAAATAAGTTAATTTGCGTATATTTAGAATAGTGTCTGGCCAATAGTAAATGATATATAAATGATATAAATGATAAGTGTTTGCTATCAGTAATACTGTACATGTCAGACATAGGAGATATAAAATAGTGAAGAGTTCTTTTTCTTAAGGAAGCTCCACGTCCAGTGGAGGGAAATGGATAAATAATAGATATAAATCAATATGCTAAATGCAGTAATAGCTATTATACAGTATATGTTATTATGGTGATATGTGGGGTTGTGTGATGGAGAAAGCCAATGGCTAAGGGCCTTCCTAATAGTTATCTTATGAGCCTTGAGAGTTTAAGAGCTTCATCTGGCCAATCTGGTTCAGGTGGATTATGTTACTCATTATTTTTAAAAACACTTTCTTCCTTGGTTGTAAAGATTATATTTAATTGTAGAAAAATTGGAAAATACAGAAGTATAGGAAAACATACACAGTCTCATTATCCATAGATAACTGCTATTATGTTTTGGTACATTTGCTTTTACCTTCTTTTCTCTGTATATATCTGTATAATTAAGAGCAAACTATACCAGCCTGAGGAAGAGCAAGACCCTGTCTCTACAAAAAATAGAAAATTTAGTTCCCACCAATACATGAGTGGATTAATAAAATGTGGTATATGTATACCATCTCATCCATTTAAAAAATGGTGAATTAATACCTCTTGTATTAACCTGGATGGAACTGCAGACCATTCTTCTAAGTAAAGTATCACAAGAATGGAGAAACAAACACCACATATACTTTTCATTAAATTGGAACTAATCAACACGTATATGCACACATGGAAATAATATTCATCAGAAATCAAGCAGGTGGGAGGGGGAAGAGGAGTTAGGTAAATTCACACCTAACAGTTACAATGCACAGTATCTGGGTGATGGGCACACTTACAGCTTTGACTCAAATGGTGCAAAAGCAATTTATGTAACCAAAACATTTGTACCCCATAATATTCTGGAATAAAAAAAGAAAAAGAAAATTTAGCTGGGTGTGATAGCTCGAGCCTGTAGTCCCAGCTACTCAGGAGGCTGAGGCAGGATGATCATTTGAACCCAGGCATTTGAGGTTATAGGGAGCTATGATGATGCCACTACACTCTAGCCCAGGGAAAGAGAGACACTGTGTCCAGGAAAAAAAAAAAGCAGCCTATAGATAATTTTGTACCCTAGTTTTTTTATATAACATTATACCATTGAAAATTTTTCATTAACATTTTCAGTGATCATATAACAGTAATCATTTAGAAGCATCATAACTTTTAGAAGTATTATAATTTGATGTTTTCTTCTATTCAATCTTTTCTCCCTAGCTTTAAAACCCAAATGTGCAGAATTTACAGAAATGTCAGACTTTACCAATGATTTTGTTAGGGTAATAATCTATTATTGAATATTTTGATTGTCTTAAGATTTTTCCAGTTGAAATTGTACTCCATGAATGTACATTAATTAAACTGGTCATTTATTAGAATAGATTTTAAGAAGTGGAATTACTAGATTATAACTGCTTTGTTTTGCTTTAAAGTGGATTGCCTTTGATGGTGATTATCCATAAGTCATGGTGTGGAGCTTGCAAAGGTAAGTGCCTCAATCTAAGTTCATACCTCAGACGTGTTGTCAAATGTTAATATTTTTACAAGTACATGAATGGGCCTAAAAAGAGAGAAAGAAAATAAAAAAAAAAAATGTTAATATTTAACAAATGTTAGCACTGCCTCTGGCTCAGTACTACTGATTGCTTTAAGGAATACCAAAGAAATACACTTGTATTTTATGGAGTGAGGTGATTAAGATACAGTATATAGAGTATGAAATTAAGTGCTAAAATGTCATATGGACAATAAATATTAGATGAAGCTGAAATGTAGAGAGAGAGAGACATGAAGTTAGGGCAGTCTTCCTGGAGGAGGTGGGAACCAAATTATTAGAATTATTAATAGAACCAAAGGTTATCTGACTAGTGGCATATGTTCTTTCTGCTGTATCACCTTGACATTTTCCCAATGAGTTTTTTCCTTTCATTTGGTATGCTACACTTAAAAAATTCTAGTTGGAAAAAGAGTGTAAAATCAGTGTAAATAATTAGTGTAATTATATATATATTAGTGCCAGTGTTATTACTCTATTATCTATTGCTTCAATAGAAGTTATTAAAATGTAACTATAAAGAGCAAATAGTAATACTTTAAAAAAAATTTATATGGCATTATCCTTATTTTATAAATGAGGTAAAACTTTGGAGAAATGAAGTAAGTCACTCAAGGTCACATAGCTTTGCAAATAAGTAGCAGAACCAGGACCAGAATTCAGGTATCCTGATTCTGGTTTTTTAGAGTATTAAAAAAAAAAAAGTTATATGAATAAACACAGCCTGAACTACCAAAGAGAAATAGTGATGCTCATGTTAATTAGGGTTTGGGTATGACAATGATGTTTTTCTATTTCAAAATCTTTTTTTCCCCTCTAGCTTTAAAGCCCAAGTTTGCAGAATCTACAGAAATTTCAGAACTTTCCCATAATTTTGTTATGGTAAATCTTGAGGTAAGATTAAGAGTTTCTCCTTTCTGCTATGATTTTAAGACTACTGTTTTAGAATTAGCATCATTAATGCTATAAAATCATATTCAGCAGAGCTGTTTACTTGTATGTATGTGTTTTTCTCTTGACCTCTGATACTAAGGCTTGCATCAGATATTTTAGAAAGCCATCCAGCATCTACTTCAGGGCGGTAGAAGGAGAGGAGAGATTGAATATGATGATGAAATTTTAATGTCCTTTCATCCTTAGTTTATGATTATGATATGTTTTACATCTTTGTATAGCTGGACTAAAGGCATAGTCATATATTCAGGCCAAAACTCCCTGCAAAATGTGAGTCAGTTGAACACCTGCTCTGTGCTGGGCTTCTATGTACCACCTTCCTGTTTCCTCATGAGATATCCTTTATATACTTCATATAGACTACAGGTCTTAGAATCCTGAGTCATAGAATGTCAGATCTTAGAATTGGAAGGGATTTTAAGGCCATTGGTGCTATCCCCATTTTACAGAAAAGAACATCTTAGGCTTGAAGGAGGTACATGATTTGGTCAAGATCGTAGAGCCTAGTAAGTGATAAGAATGGGTACTCTGACCTAGCCGTGCTCCCTTTTAGTTGCTTTATGATGATATTTCTAACCATAAGTTTCTGTAAAGATAATGTTGACTTAAACCTACAACTGGGAATCTTCCAAACACATTAACAGTTAACGTTGAGGCACCCAAGCAATTGTTTATGTAGGTAATGGATAGCCTGAATGCTAACCACTCACCAGGGCAAAGTTATATTACAGTTTGAAGAAATGACACTTTTTAATTACCTGAAATGGGAACCACACCATAAGTTATAAAGTTATTGTTGAGTTCCCATGCACATGAACTCCTTACCTCTTTCTGTGATAAATTAGGATTCTTCCTTAAAGGAGACCAAAATAACATCTTTAGTGAGCATTTGCTAACTTCAGAAATTTCTTAAAAGGAAAACCAATTGTGGTGTGGTTTTATCTCCTAGGAGGACCATGACTCCACAAGTGTAGCTAGAATGCCAGTCTCGTTAATTCATGCATTCAAGAAATACTACGTGCAAGTCAGAGATGTAGGTACTGATAATACAGCAGTGAGCAAAACAGACAAAATTCCCTCATCAAAATAACAGACTAGTGTGGGGAGACCGATTAACAAATAAGCATAATAAACCACATCAGATAGTGGTAAATTTTGTGGCTAAAAAGGAAGGGTGGAGGACAGGATGAGTACAGCTTTAAATAGATGGTTAGAAAAGAAAGTGATATTTGAGCAAAGGTCTGATGCTGAAAAGGGAGTGAGCCATGTGGATAATGGGGGAAGTGGGTTCAGGCAGAAGGTAAGAGCAAGTCCAAGGGGTAAGGTATGCAGTTGGAGAAGTGCCTAGGTGGCAGATCATGTAGGGTCTTGTAGGCCACTGCAAGGACTTGGGGATTTTCCCTGAGCAAGAAGGAAGCCACTGAAAGGTTTTGAGGAAAGGGAGGACATGACCTGACTTAAGCTTTACATTTAATTTTAATAGGATGAAGAGGAACCCAAGGATGAAGATTTCAGCCCTGATGGGGGTTATATTCCGCGAATCCTTTTCCTGGGTAAGGCACAAGATCTTAGTTTGGGGATCCATGATGTGTATGGAGAGAGAAATGAATGAAGGTACTGATTCTACCTGGTGAAACTATACTGGGATGGCCAAAACCAAAAACACAAACCAGTTACAGGAGAGAGTGAGGGTGTTGTGAATGCCAGAATTATAAGTTTTTTTTGTTTTTGTTTTGTTTTGTTTGTTTTTTTTTTTGAGACAGAGTCTCGCTTTGTTGCCTAGGCTAGAATGAGTGCCGTGGCGTCAGCCTAGCTCACAGCAACCTCAAACTCCTGGGCTCAAGCAATCCTTCTGCCTCAGCCTCCCAAGTGGCTGGGACTACAGGCATGTGCCACCATGCCCGGCTAATTTTTTCTATATATATTATTTGGCCAATTAATTTCTTTCTATTTATAGTAGAGATGGGGTCTCGCTCTTGCTCAGGCTGGTTTCGAACTCCTGACCTTGAGCAATCCGCCCGCCTCGGCCTCCCAGAGAGCTAGGATTACAGGCATGAGCCACCGCGCCCGGCCCAGAATTATAAGTTTGAAGGAAAACTTTTCCCATTAACTAACTACTTTTGTGAGCCATGACAAGAATTTGATCATTTATTTATTCATTCAGCAATCATTTTTAGCATCAGCCATATGTCAAACACTATGCTAGGCACTAAAGGGACAGAGATAACACACAATTCCCACCCCTGACCCTATGGTGCAGCTGAAGCAATGAAATACTATAACCAGACAAATGTCTTTCCATGAACAGTTTTATAAGATAGTTAATGACCACCTAATCTTTGCTCAGTATTCTGCTAGATTTTATGGAGGCTATAGATAAAAATGTATGATCCCACCATTATCCAGTAGAAAAGGAAGCAGAAATGCAAGGGGTAGGGTGGTGAGATAATTGGCTGCAAAGAAGAGGAGATCTCATTTCCCACAGGGCCTAGGATAGTGTTTGAAGTACCATATAGTGTTTGAAGTACCTGTCTATTGTAATTACTGCAAACCCCTGTGGCATTTTGTCTATAACAGATCCCAGTGGCAAGGTGCATCCTGAAATCATCAATGAGAGTGGAAATCCCAGCTATAAGTATTTCTACATCAATGCCGAGCAAGGTACAGTTACACAGAGAGAAAGGAGGGTGGGTTGCTGCTAGATTTAACTAGGATGGACAACATGCAAGGTCTGTGATAGGAAACTTAATTCAACATGCTAGCCGAACTTCTCCTGCCTGTCCTGTTTTTGGCTAGATCCTACATAGTATATAGGAGAAAGATAAAACTGAGCCTTTTCCCCCAGCCACTTACAGTCTAGTGGAAAAGCTGACTGACCTATAGGAAACTGAGGCTCACAGAGAGAGTCACTTGCCCATGGTCTCACAGTTAACAAGTTGCAGAGCCAGGATTTGAATCTAGAACTTATTCCGCTGCAGTAATACTAGTCTTCCTATAAGAATTCAGAGGAAGGGGGAATACTGTTAGCTGAACAGGTCTAAGAGATTTCATAAGTACTAAACTTTATTTGGACCTAGAGGAATAAGAATTTGTCTCTGGATAGATATGAGGAGGACATTTCAAGCTATGGAAGTGAGAAGGAAGGCGGGATGTAGCTGAACACAGAGAGTTGGTAAGGCTTGCCAGAGGAAGTGATGACTGGATTGAGTCTTGAAGAATGAGACCTAGTCAGCAGCAGAATGGGGAAAGCATGTTCCAGGTAGAGAGAATAGCATCAGCACAAACGGGTGAAGGAAGGTTGAAATCACATCAGTCATGCTTTTTGTTTTCTAGTCTTTGTGCACAGTCACTCTGGAGGCAGGGGTTGGAATTTATGCCATGTATTGTCGCTATTTTCCTTCCTTTTCCTCCTAATCAATAAAAGGGAGGTGCTTGCTAAGTTGCTGTATGTCCTCTATTACCATGCTGCCAGCTTGATGATCACTTTATGTTTTGAGTCCCTGAACTCTTATTTTCAGAATAGGGAGGGAGAAGAGATCTGGAAATGTTATCACCTCTTTCCCATGGGTAAAACAAATGTCATGTTCCTTAACCAAATGCAGATCACTGGAGACGGATATTAGAGGGAAATTTCCCACATGGAGAAGGGCAGCTGGGTTTTCTGCCCCCAATCCTTGCACCTTGAGATTCACCTTCCCTTTAGAATATCATACAAGTTACCACTGCCATGTCCACACTGGCATAGTCCTGATGTGAACACAGGGCCCTTCCCTGATTCCCCCACAGCTCAGCTGACATGAAACTAGAGCATTTAAACCTGACTCTACTAAAGGCATAGGCAAAACAAAAGGGAAATAACAGACTATATTATCTGGCTCTTATGAGCTTATGAGTTTGTTTTTCAAGATTTACAGACTCTGACTCAACCCAGCTCCTGGCCTGCCACTGATAGGGGTGCTGTTGTAGAACCACCATTCAGGAGCCTATAGCTGCCTTTCTTGAAGTCTGAATCCATAAGAGGGTTGCCCCAAGATAGACAAGAAGTTTCATCTCCAGTTCAACCTAAGGCCCTCCTTCTAGATTTCGCCTTTTTTGTGTGTGCCTGAGAACTTGGCTTCTCCCACGTATAGTTGATACTGGAAATGACCAACCCCTTCAGTGGATACCATCCCCGCTCCCAGGACACACACACACACACACACACACACACACGCACGCACACGCACACACACACACACACACACTCCATTGTAACCTGTAATCGCCATAGGAAGTGAAATAAATGTAACATTCATCCAAAAGATATAGTGGGATGGTAGAAATGCGTTCCTTCTTTAGTGTCAAGCGAGTATCCACAGTTGGTAGCTGAAATCAGCTCTAACTTACAGGGGAAAACAAAGCAACTGCTAACATTTTTGTAGGACTTCATAGTTGATAAAGCACTGTTATTATCCCTTCTCTCATTTAATTTTTATAATAATCTAGTGTGAAGTAAGTTACATGATCTCATTTTATAAATGAAACGAATTCAAAGAGATAAATGAATTGCCAGGGCCAAAATCCAGAACTAGATCTTGTACTCCTCTCATATTTCTCTTAAAATATTTAAAAGTCTACATTGGTTGGCAAATGTCAGATATTGAAGATGTACTTCATACCTTTTCTCCCCAACTTTTATTTCACAGTTGTTCAGGGGATGAAGGAAGCTCAGGAACGGCTGACGGGTGGTGCCTTCAGAGAGAAACATCTTGAACATGAGTTGTAACATGAATGTTTCCCTTCTTTCATCAAAGTTAGTGTTCTGGAAGGAAAACAGCATGGGAGGGAATATTGAGGAATCACCCAGAACAGTAAAACTGACCAGGAAACCTTGCTCCTGTCTGCACCAGAAGGAGCTCTCTCACTGTGGAAGAGTTCTGCTAATAGAAGCTGGTCTGCATGTTTGTGGATCCAGCAGAGTGTGGCAGACTTTCTTCTCCTGCTCCCTCTCACCTAAATGTCAGTTCGTCATTGAATGTAAAGAATGAAACCTTTTGACACAAAACTTGAGCCACTTGGAGGTTTACTCCTCACAGTTGAGAATTTGAGTCTTTTCCCATTTCCTCCCACTTTATTCACCTTAGTGGTAAAAGGGGAGACCAGTAGCATCTTTTCTACAATGTTGAAATTGCAGAGATAACTTATCAATTTTTTTTTAAAAAGCCAATACATCCTAAATGTAAATCAGTAATTCTATCTCCTACCTAGGAGACCAGCCTGTTTTTTCTCCTGGGAATAATTGTGCACTTCTTCCCAAATCCCTGCAACCTCCCTCCTCTCCTCCTGCTTGGGCTTCCCAGTTTGCACGCATGGCTGTGTGCTTGGACTCGGCTCCAGTTGGAAGCATGCTTTCCCCTGTTAATGTTGGAGAATCTCAAACCTTCAAGCCCTGGGTGTAGCCATTTTGTCAAGTCATCAACTGTATTTTTGTACTGAGGTTAATAAGAAAAAAGATAAAATATTGTTCCATTAAACTTTAATAAAACTTTAAAAGGAAGCGTGCTGTGATGGCTTTTTTATTATTGCAGAATGGAGGGAGGGCTGGAGATCGCCTCAGGAAGAAAACTAACCTAGAGGACCTAAGCTAGGAGTCCTAACCTGGGACTCCTCCTCCTGCACCTTCCACATTGAAATGAGCACCAGGGCTCACGTCTTTTACTTTTTAAATACCTGAATTTCTTCTGCCCTCACTATCACTGTTTTAGCACGGGACAGGCTTTTTCTCTTTCCTAGACTATTTATTGCTCCAGCCCCTTAACTTGCCTACTGCCTCTAATAGCCTCTCTTCCTAAAATCCATCCTCCTTGCTTCCCCCAGAGTAATCTTTTCAAAACACAAATGTGGCCACATCACTCCCCTGTTTAAAACCTTTCCTTGTACATTTAAGATAATAATGTTAGGAAATTATCAGGCCTTGGTATGTGCCAGGCGCTCTTGTAAGTGCTTTCTGATGGCCTTTAAGAAGCTCCCTGTGTCTTCAACCTCATTTTTTCCCATTCATGTCTTTGCATTTTTGTTGTGGTGACACCAAATTGCTCTGAGTTTCCCTGAAAACATGCCATTTTATGTTTTTGTGCTTGCTCATCTTGTTTCCTCAGCCTAAAACATGTTTTCTTTCTATTCTTCCTTCACAACCCATTTTGAGCCACCTCTTCCAGAGAGCCTTCCCTGACCTTTCTCATGAGGATAAAATGTCCATCCTCCAGCACATCTGTCACAGCCTTGTTCCACTTTATGTTGAAATAGCCTAGTTGCACATCTGTGGCTGTCATCAGGTGGCCATTCTCTAGGGCAGAGGCTACACCTGTGTCCTGTGTATCAAGGTCCTAAAACTATACTTTCAAGTGACTTGCCAGACTCTATGGTAGTTTCTTTTTTTCATCTATTTTTTAAGTACTATCAATAAGGCCAGGCATGGTGGCTTGATCCTGTAATCCCAGCACTTTGGGAGGCCAAGCTGAGAGGATCACTTGAGCCCGGGAGTTTGAGGCTAGCTTGGACATCATAGTGACACCCTGTCTTTACAAAAAATTTAAAAATTAGCCAGGTGTGGTGGCATATGGCTTTAGTCCTAGCTGCTTGGGAGGCTGAGGCAGAAGGATTGCTTGGGCCCAAGAATTCAAGGTTACAGTGAGCTATGATCAGTCTGCTGTACTCCATCCAGCTTGAGACACTGAGCTAGATCCTGTCTCTTAAAGAAAAATTAAAAAAAATAAATACAACCAATGGTCCTGTGCTAGGTATTGTTACCTCATTTTATGGAAAAGAATTTCAGAGAAGGAAGCGACTAGCCCTTGGATTGGAGACTAAGTAAATACTGGATTCTAACCACTGTCTGATTCTAAACTCATGCTTTCCCCACCGCATTACTTCCTTTAGTGTTCTGAAATGTGATTTATTAGAACAGGGGTTTTTAATCTGGAGTACATAAGGACTTCACAAGAAACATATACGCACAAAAACTTTAGTGACTTTATTTCTACATCTCATCTTTCTTAAAATGATTTCCCAGGGTTCTTAAAAAAATTAAACATAGAATTACCACATGATCTGGCAATTCCACTTATACGTATGTACCCCAAAGAATTAAAAACGGGATCTCAAACAGATAATTTGTACACTCAAATTCATAGCAGCATTATTCACAGTAGCCAAAAGGTGGAAGCAATCCCAGTGGCCATTGATAGACAAATTGGTAAACGTGGTATGTTCGATGGAATATTATTAGTCTTAAAAAGGAAGGGAATTCTGATATGTGTTACAATGTGGATGAACCTTGAAGACATGCAAAGTGAAATAAGTCAGACACAAAAGGACAAATACTGTATGATTCCACTTATGAGCTACCTAAAATAGAATTATAGAAAGTAGAATGGTGATTGCCAGGGACTGAGGGGAGGGTAAATGGAGAGTTAGTGTTGAATGGGTGCAGAGTTTCAGTCTGGGAAAATGAAAAAGTTCTGGAGATGGACAATGGTAATGGTTGCATAATAATGCAAGTATTTTTAACACCACTGAACTTAAAAATGGTTTAAATATCCTCGTTTGTATAGTGGTGAGTATCCATGCCTGTCACGTGGGAGACCAGGATTTGATTCCCCGACGGGGAGCCAAAGGAAAAAAAATGGTTAAAACGGTACATTTATATATATTTTATCAAAATTAAACTGATTTCCCAAGAAATGTCATCAAGATAGTTCATTCCCACCCTCCTTGTCACTATTCACCTTTTCCCACTTTACAGGAAAAAAGGCATACCTCTTACCTTGAATTTTAATATAGTGCATTGCCCTATTATATAAAAACTTCTGGCCAGGTGCAGTGGCTCACGCCTGTAATCCTAGCACTTTGGGAGGCCGAGGCGGGTGGATTGCTCTAGGTCAGGAGTTCGAAACCAGCCTGAGCAAGAGCGAGACCCCATCTCTACTATAAATAGAAAGAAATTAATTGACCAACTAAAAATATATACAAAAAAAAATTAGCCGGGCATGGTGGCTCATGCCTGTAGTCCCAGCTACTCGGGAGGCTGAGGCAGGAGGATCGCTTGAGCCCAGGAGTTTGAGGTTGCTGTGAGCGAGGCTGACGCCATGGCACTCACTCTAGCCTGAGCAACAAAGCGAGACTCTGTCTCAAAAAAAAAAACTTCTGTGGTGTCAAAGGGAAGCTGAAATATTACCATGCTTCCTTGATTAGAGGCTTTTTGTCTTGTACTTGTACATAGTTCTATCCTCAGCATAGTTCTGTGAAGAGCAAAACCTGACATTACAAATGGGGCAGTTTGCATCATTTGGAAATGTTTTAAATTCAGGCACGGTAAAGTGGAAGGGAGGAAAATTTGCTTCTTCTAATCCCCAATTGTTATTTAAGAAGGCATCTCTCCTGAGGGACAGTTCTAAGAGAGCATAGAAAAAATTTTGAATTCATCCGTTCCTGACAAGGCTTCACCTCTTAGAATTAGAATTTGGAATATTTTAGTATTAGCATTTGGAACGAAGATAGTTGTCAAGGGATTCATGTTAACATGTTTATTTGCACTGAAAAATGAACTATCATGATGTTGCCTCTGGTCAAAGACTTGAACTTCCAAAAGAAGATATATGAATGGCTAATAAACACATGAAAATGTGTGATATTATTAGACATCAAAGTAATGCAGAGTAAAACTACAATAAAATACTGTTTCCCACCTATTAGAATTGCTAAAATTAGAAAAAAAGACACCAAAACCTGATGATACCAAGTGTCGGAGAGGCTGTGGAGCAACTGGAACTCTTGTATATTGCTGTTGAGAGTGTAAAATGGTTCAATTACTTTGGAAAACAGTTTGGCAGTGTTTTGTAAAACTAAATATATACTTACTATGTAACCCAGAAATTCCAGAATTATATGACTATGTGGATTATATGAAACAGGAACATACACACATGTGCATGCACAAGCTTGTATAAGAATGTTCATGGCAACTTTATTCATAATATCTGAAACACTGGAATCAACCTAAATTCCTATCAACAAATAAATGGATAAATTGTGGTATAGTCATACAACGGGGTACTACTCAGAATAAAAAAGAACAAACTACTGATACATGTAACAACATGAATGAATCTCAAAAACATGCTGAGTGAAAAAACAGGCTAAAAAAATTACATTTTTAGAAGGTTTTAGAACAGGCAAAAGCTATCTATAGTGTAAGAAAGCAGATCAGTGATTATCTGGTGTTGGGGGTAGGGGTGAGTAGGCATTGACTGCAAAGGCACAGGGGGGAACTTTCTGTGGTGAGGGAAATATTGATCATGATGGTTACACAGGTAACCATTTGTCAAACCTCACTCAACTGTAAATAAACATATGAGCATTTTATTGTATGAATTTATGCCTCAATTTATTTGATTTTAAAACATTTATTTCAACTCTCCAAAATGAAGTCTTTTTGAAATAAAGTGTAACTTAACTAATTGATTTTACAGTGAAGCCTGGGTTGGCCAATTAGATAATATATAAAGCATTTCCCTAAATTAAGTGAAAGCCAAGTGTTTGATTAACATACTTAAAGCACATGATAAGATGAATGCATTTTATCAAAGCATATTATATTTGCAAAGATTTTCTTAGCACTTTCTGAGGAATTTGGATTATACAGGGTACCTCTAAGGCAAGTGAAAAAGTCTGAAATGTAGTTCATAAGTATTTGTTAAGTTTTTGTGGTATACTTGCCAGAAATTGAAAAAGAGAATGACTCTAATGAATGGGTAACATATTCTTTTACAAATTAGATGCTTTCTATTTCTTTGCTTACAATGTGATTGAAAGGGGACCTAATTGAATTATCAATGAATATGTCATTAAATTTTTTTTATATTAGATCATTGTGATTTTTGGCATACAACTCAGAAAGAGTTTGAAGAATTTAATGCCATTGCAATAATGAAACTCCTTCCATCCCTGTACACTTATTTATGTGAACATTATTTCCCAGCACTTATATCTTTAAAAGTAATAACTAGCATTAAGAAAAATTGTTCAAAACTTTGAATGTCATTGTAGAGCATTGTCGTAACAGGTTTACCTAAAGAGTTATCTGACTTTCCAATAAAATATAACTTAATTTGATTTACTATTTACTATTAATTAGGGTCGAGACATCTTGCAACCCCATAGAATTGGATGTTAACTTATAGAAAACTAGTAAGAGGCAAATTATTTCTTTCCCAACGAAAAGATAATCTCAAAGATTATGACTTTATTGCCCAGAAGTCATTAACCAGTTTGTTTGTTTTCTGAGACAGGGTCTTGCTCTGTTGCCCTAGTTAGAGTGCAATGGCATCATCATAGCTCATTGCAACCTCAAAATCCTGTACTTGTGTGATCCTCCTGCCTCAGCCTCCCAAGTAACTGGGACTACATGTGTGTACCACAATGCCCAGCTAATTTTTGTGCTTTTGTAGAGACAGAGTCTTGCTCTTGCTCTGGCTTGTCTTGTACTCTTTTTTTTTT